AAGGGATTTTGGAGTCTCTGGGGAGCCACTGAACCATTGTCTCCCAACAGCGAACGCTGTGATGCCTTCTATACGGGGGCTTTCATAATTACCTATACCATTTTGTTGGGTTCCTTTTTAGAGTTATAATATATTAGTATACCCCAAAGCCTTCTTCTAATTATTGAGGCCCCTACATGTCATTGTGGTCCTGGTAGCTTCAATTCCGCACCCTGTCTAACAACGAATGGGGGCAGTAGAATCCTTATTATAAGGACCCAGAATAGGGTACCCTAATTTTCGGAAGCTCCCAAATCGTCGGGCGCGGAGCGTTGAGTCGGCGTAGATTCCAAGAAATGGGCCACTCTCCTGGTCTAGGACATTGGCTTTAGGGTTTAGGGTTCAGGTGGGTAGTTACCGTTATAGGAGCCTTATAGAAGGTCTATATATACCTTATGGAAGCCTTATAGAAGCCTTATATACCCTAAACTCCCCACCTGTAGTTTCTTTTAACTCCTGGAGTTCTGCGTGTGGTCTCCGGGTTCTTTCTTGGTGGTCTCCTGGTGTCTCCTTCCTAAACCCTAAAACCCTAAACCTTACACCCCAAAACCCTAACAACCCGAAACCCTAAACCCTAAACCCCTAAAACCCGAAACCGTCCCCTTCCCTGGTTTTGTCCTTTTGGATCGTCCGGGTCTCTCGCTTGCGTATCGGTTGCGTCCTCCTGGTTCTATTGGTGGGCCTGGTGGACCTGTTTAGGGCTTTAGGGGTTTAGGGTTTTCGGGTTTAGGATTTAAGGCTTTAGGGGTTTTGGGGTTTTCGGGTTTGGGATTTAGGGGTTTAGGGTTTGGGGTTTAGGGACAGTTTGGGGATCTAGACGGGAGGGAAGAAGAATCATGCCACGTGAGGCCTGAACGATTCACGGCAAATCCGAAGCCGAAGCTTTAAACCCAGCAACCGAAGTCCAAAGAGACACCTTGATCTAGGACATTTTCAGGTGGTTACCGTTATATAAGGACCTTATAGAAGGTCTATATACCTTATAGAAGCCCTATATACCCTAAACTCCCCGCCTGTAGTTTCCTTTAACTTGAAGCTTCTGCCCAACGCCCAGAACCCTAAATCTCACCGACATCCTCAACGCCAACCCATCTAACGCCACTCATTACTCCTGCTGCTCGTACTAGCGATTTTGAGCGTTAGTGGGAATAACAATGGCAGCAGGAAGGCTGGCAAAGATGGCTTTCGAAAGAAAAACAATACTAAAACGAACAGGAGCATCAGTCGTAACAGTTGCAACAGCAATTTCAAGACTAACAACATCGAAGAATGGAGGAGGAGTACGCCGATGATTTCGAGGCGCATTGCATTGAGTGGAAGCTTCAAGGCTCTTTGCGTCTTCATGGATTAGAGCTGAGGTTTAGGGTTTAGGGTTCAGGGGTTTAGGGTTTAGGGTTTGATTCGGATTAAACTTGATGCTTGAGGTTTGGAGTTTCGGGTGTACAGCTTCATGTCTGGAGACTCCACAGTTTGGAACTTGGATTTGAAGGCGTAGCCTTGAGGGTTCCGGGTTTTTTTGCTTAACTTTCGCAGTGATCTTCCAGGGCGAGGCCGGGTACGGGCTGCACAGCTCCCCTAAACCCTAAACCCTAAACACCCTACAGCCTAAGCAGTCTCACTTTGGGATGCAGTCACCTGTTCTTCGATCGTTTTTTTGCCCAATCGCCTGGTCTAGTCGACATGTACTTAAAGGATCATGGGACTTAGTAACTAAGGTTATTATTAGCTTTACTTGTAACTCCTTATAACCCCAAATAAGGCACTTATAACCATACTTACTAAGTCCCATGATCCTCCAAGTAAGTCTTTAACAAATAGGCTTGGGGTTTTTTTGTCACAATATACCCTCAGACCTGATGTTGGTTGTAGGATGCCTTGTGGCTTTGGGTGGGGCGCTCCAGGAGTTTGGGGAGCTGGTGACTATTCGGGGCTTGGGGTTTTAATCCAGGGGCTTTTAAGAATTAGAATAGGATTTTGGGGGCCCAGTATACTATAGCTAAATTTAGGACCCCCCAAAATAGTAGTGGTAGTTGTGTAGGCCCCTACATTAATCTGTCTCATATCAGTGTTCTTATCGCTGCCCACGATCAGCAGTTAAGCAGGAAGAAGGACCACTTGAGAATCATCGGTTGATGAGCAGCGGTAGCTGTAAACATGTTTTCTGCTTCCTCGCCGTGAACCGTCATCACCAGCAGCATTATCAGCTTAGCATTCAGTGCACGGGAGGTCTCGAATGGCAAACACTTGAATCGCATGCTCGCACCACATACAAACCCCGCAACCGTAGACCACCGGATGATGTAACTCCAATCGCTGGGAAGCTTGAAGCCCTCGACGCCAGGAAGACGAGAGTGACTATGGAGACGATTTCGAGGATGCAAGCGGAAGCGACAGCTCTTACGTGCCTGGGCGGCTTTGGTGGATGTGACTTCGAGCAGGGGTTGCTGAGGGATCCATCTTCGGTGGGCGAATCTTTCAATACTTGAAGCCCCGGCGTTGCAATTGTGAAGATAGCAATCTTCTCGGAAAGAGCTGTGTTTGGCTGCTAGAAGCCTATGGACACTTTACAACATAGCACCCTGATAAGATTGTAAAACCTTATGAAAACCGTACAACTCCATATGACAACTTCACAAGAACCTTATGAAAACCGTACAACTCCATATGACAACTTCACAAGAACCTGCCCCTCAAGGCGCCGGATTTCGAAGCCGCCAGCGACAGCGAAGAGGGCAACGACACGCCCGGCTGGGAGACGTCTGAGGCTGTCCAATTCTCAGTAGTAGAGTAATAGGGTTTAGGCTTTAGGAGGGCAGCAGGAGGGTACCAAACTCCCCAAGGCCATCCTACAGGTCAAGACTCTGGTCCCTTGCTGTGGCAGTCCATATGGCCTGAGATAGGGTTTTCAGTTCGCACGGCCTTCAGCGAGAAGCATCGCAGAAAAAACAAAAAGCCAGAACGTCAGGCTAAAGAGGCAAGGCTGCAAAGCGAGCAATACCGTGAAAGTCCAACTTCATGCCTCCGGGGCCCCAAACGCCCCTCAACAAAGGAATGTAATATAGGGGCTTTAACAATGAGAATAGGGTTTTGGGGTATATTCTACTATAATTCTACTAAGGAGCCCCCAAAATAGTATAGGTAATAATTTAGGCCCCTATATTACCTTCGAATTCACATGGCTTCTCACTCTTTTCTCAAGAAAACCTCAATACGTAGTAGGCTGGGGAAGATCAATGGCTTCCTGTCATTTTCAGCTATAGCTTCGTCAAGACATATGGGTAGTTCTCAAAATTGGGGTCCCCTTTTTAGGTCCCCAAAATAGTACGGCACCCTTATAAAGAGGACCCTATGCACCTTCAAAACCAGGTTCTGATTGAAGGTAATGTAGGGGCTTAAATAATTACCGATATTATTTTGGGGGTTCCTGGTTATAGTTATAGTTTAATGGGTCCCAATACCCTACTCTATACTCCTTGCTAAGGAATATTCCGTAAGAACGGGGGTAGGTCCACGGTACCCCCGAAGAACCACTGCTAAACCCCATGAGCCCTTGCAAAACCTACCCCAAGCCCTACCTTATCCTCAAATATCCTACCTGTAGTAGAACTTATAGAAAGAAATCATAATAAGGAACCCTTAAAACGTAGGTTCTTCAGGGTTTAAAGTTTATGCTTTAGGGTTTAGGGTTTAAGAACTTATAGAAAGAAATCATATAAGGAACCCTAAAGAAGTAGGTTCTTCAGGGTCCAGG